GGTTACATCTCTTAAATATTTTCTGCCATCTTAGATGAAACTGCATATACCATTGGAAATGTGATCAAAGGCGATTGTGGCTTGAGGCGTGTAGCGTCTGCGATTCGAATCCCGCCTGGATATTTGCCCATGTCTCTGTATTGTTTTATGGAAGTTTAAACCATATATTGATGAAACCCTCTTATAGGAAATGCTGCCGCCCCTCTAATTGGACGTAAGGAGCCAAAATACGTAACGAAATAAAGTAGAAATTTTCTCTGTGCTTAATTAACCAGCACGCCCTGAAGATGTAGAGGGAGCGAAGAGATATAACTGCATGCATATTAAACCTTTGCAATAGATGGAGGTCATTGGAGGTGAGCTGCGCGCTCCGACTCCGTTAACCCAATGAATAAATCCATTATACACCAACCCACTGGATAGGAAAATGGGTGGGCCTCAGAGCTGTCCTGGAAGCAGTGGTGAAGAGAAAAGTCTGCCCTCGCTGGGAATCGAATTCTAGTTATCCAATTGTCCAGCCCGTAACCTAGACACTATACTGAATAAATTAACTGCATGTATTAAAGTTCTGTTTGATAAGCTAGTAGTCGTCTACATAGTCATCGAATTCCCAGCCATTTTTGCAAGCCGAAGATTCATTTCTGTGTTCGCAAGGGTTCGCCACGCGTTCCTACCTTGGTCCAGATGAATCCAATCCACACTATTGCACCATATTTATTTAAGACAACTCTTAATATTATCCTCCCATCTACTATTGGGTTTCTTAAATTATTTTACCTTTACGGTACTATATATAAAGTTATCTCTTTAATGACGTCGGACCTTCGATCGAAGAAGTAATAGAATGGAGAAAATTTCGCAGCTGAGAGCTTGCTTTTTGTACTCTTCAACATATCAGTATATAATCGGAAAGGTCGACACGGGATATCATGGATTGGGACATGTAATGCATTTACGGAGGATGTGAATTGTATACAGAGGCTTCCTTCCATCAGTTGTCCGGATGAAATAACAATACATGGGAATGTAAATTGGGATAAAATTGTCACGATTTATGTGCGTGGCTAATAATAATGGGGTTTCGGATGTGATGATTGGATTTATTTACCACCTTATACGATTATAACACGGGACTACAGGTATTTACAGCGTTACTGCTAATTTCCACACTTTACACTTCACCGTTCAGCATGCACTAGAATTCTCAATCTCTCCAGTCGTATCCTGGCAACGGATCTCAACACAGGAACTATCACCTCAGATCACTATGAGGTCTTCATGTCATTTTTTCTCAACCACTTTGGACTGCCGACTCTCTCAATTGTAGCCCCGACTCAAGTCAAAGTCAAAGTCGCATTACGATTAACGGTCAGTCAGTCAGTAAGTCTTGGTGTTGAGCCCCATCTGGGGCTCATCTGACGAGAGGACGGTTCTTTTGTATATACTGCTGGTCCTTGCCAGCGCAGTCTTTCTTGGGGTCCGAGTACCTTGGGACTCGCGACCATATTTTACTGTCTCAGATTTGAGACTTCCCCTTTTCGTCGCCTCCTACACTCACAGGTTCATGGTGCAGTTGTTCGATCCCGCCTTCACACGGTTATGGATCCCGACTACTATTCTGTACTACTTATATATCCTCGAGGCTGACCATAGAAAACACTTGTTCTATTGTTGCGTGTGTGTATTGCGGGAGTTTCAAAGCAATAAATCTACTCCGTTGTTGTTTGTGTATTTGTTGCGGGTTTGGTTAACAGGGTCGTTGCCTAGCAAAGGACATGACGCAGTGGCTGTGCGGGTGTGGACAAGATTCAGTTGCTTATGAAAGTGCCCTATTGAGGAGTCCCTTTATTTATTTATGGTTTATTTAACGATGCTTTAAAACAGCAAGATCGTATAGCATGGTGGCAAAACTTAACTGAATATTGGCGCCGCAGACAGACGTGGATCAGATGGCGCAGGCGTGAGGCATCATCCGGTGCTGCATAATCTTGATACGGAACACAGAGGACCTATGTGAGTACTGAGAATTGTACATGACTTGTACGAGTAACATCCCTCACGTCCCCAAGAAACATAGATGTTGGTATGGGAGTGAAGGATTACTCCCTTGGGTTAAATTTTAAATTTCGTTTTTATTGAGTTTTGTTTTTCCCCTTCCTCTGTATGTTACGGCTGCCTTTCCCACTGTGAGGGATGGGTAGGAGCGACCCGGGCCCTATCAGTGTAAACGCTTAGCGCTAAGTTCCGGACCTGAAGGTCAGTTTCCCTACAGCGAACCGTTCTGAAGTGTTTTCCTCGTAATATGATGAAAAGAAGTAACTATGTGTGATCTGAGGCCCTCTTGACAGTCAGTGACCATAATACACGGGGCAGTGAGTGGGCTTATAGGCTCTTGAGCTCCTAAGCCTATTTGCTCTAGTCTCAGATCCAGGATAGAACATTTATAGGAAAGTGGTATACGAGTAATTATAAGTAAAATTGTCAAGCTGTGCAGGAGTCTGATGGAAGGCGAGGAAAGTTTAGAGTCTAGCAGCAGCAGCAGCTAATTGTTAAGCTATCCCTGTGACAGGCCGTGAAGGCCCATAGGGTTGTGAGACGTCGAGGGTCCCACATTATCTAGATAATCGGCAAATTGTCAGCCCTACGCGCCGGCCGCGCTTTACTCCCCAGGAAAATTATTTAATTAATTCCTGGTACTCATTTCTGTTAGAGGCTGAGTAAACCCCAGGGCCTAGTGCGGCTGGAAGGATTAGGTCAAGTGAAAAAAAATCCAGTGACCACATCGGGATTTTAACCCGCGACCTTCCGGCTTGTAGCGTAGCACCTCAACCATTACGCTTGAGAGTTCAGTTTCATCCTACAAAATCAAAGTCGAGCTAATGAAGACTGACCTTACAAACAATACTTTTGATCACTTTCCTAATATGCAGGACCATCTGGAAAAATATCCTAATTTTGTTTTTCAGACAGAGAAGTACGTGACCGAAATCTGCTCTGTTATCCAAGATTTCGGAAATAGATTCTGTGACTTCCAAAGAATTAGAACAGTTGTAGAGTACTTGTCATTCCCGTTCAAATCAGATTTAAACATTAGAGAAACTGCAGCTACTCTCTGTGGAAATTGCCCATTGAGCAAGGCATCTCTTGAAAATGAGATATTAACCGTTAAAAATGACATGTTTCTCAAGACTCGTGCCGGACAAGAATCATTTTGGAAGCTAGTGCCTAGACACACATTTCCCAACTTGAATGTGTGTCCTCGGCCCTGGCACCGCGACCTGCAGTGGTCTATTGTGCTTAATTTCCCAACTTAAGATGTGAAGTGAAATTGTACACTCCTGTTTCGGTTCAATGTATTTGTGTGAATCTACATTTCCTTACCTAAAATGACAATGAGTAAACAACGTTCCAACATGACAGACGAACATCTCCNAAATCCCAGAAGACTGCTTTTTCCATAGTCACTGCCGTGAAAACCTCAAATCTTACATCTCCAGGATTGCCTGAAACTGGCCCTCACCCAATACTCACCTGACTTCCAACAAACAGCTGGTGGATAAAATGAAGGTCCAGGTGTCTCACTAACGAACAAGTCTGTACTTTCAATGTATGTTGCCTTCGCAACAAACATCATGTGTCGTGTTATTTTTACCAGTATTTTTGCTTAAAGCGAGGTACGACGATAGGAGGGGGTGGTAGATCACTGGCAGTTTTGATACTAAAAGTCTATCACAACCTGTTTGAAGTTGGGCATGCCTGCCACAGAGGAACACCACACGATCCCGAGGGTGTCGCGCAACTCTCCGTGGATATCGTAGGTTTGGCGTTCTTCGTCATGTCGACCGCCGTGCGAAAATAAAATCTAAAAATTTAAGATATTTTCTTGTCATGATGAAATCCAACCAGGATTTTTTCTTTTTCGTTACATGCTCATGATGCAGATTACGTTTCCCGCCAAACTATTATTTCAGTCACTATAACAACTAGGTGAAAATATTTTGACCTATACATCCAGTGTAAGCAACGACCAGATAAACACGTTCTTGCGGAGACAGATTCTTGGTAAACAGCCAATTTCTTGGTAATGCCTAGAACAATACGCGACAACAGTAGAAGCCCATTGCTAGGAAATGTGTGTGTTTTTCGTGAGGTCCTATCCAAGGCTGTATAATTGTGAGAGACTCTGTCTCCAGGAGGAGTGGATTTGTGTAGGGCGGTCAGAAGTCGAGTGGTCGAGAGTGTCCAGTCGAAGACAGTGATTTATGAAATGTTGAGCAAGTTGTATAAAGGTTCAATAAATTTGATCATGAAATCCAAAAATCGTTTTATAATGCACGCAAACCCCTAATACGTGACACCATGAATTGTAAACCTTGCCTAGTCTAACGTTTCTTAATCTCTCCTTAATCGAAATGTTTTCCACGACAGTTTGTTTTCCAAACCTACTCTTGTTAGGGCAAGCACACGTAAATGCGCACATAGAGGATCTCTGTAAGCGAATGCGATATTTCATGTTTAAATGAACCTGTTTACTGAAAGCAAGGGTTGGGTGAGGCACTATGCTACAAGCCGGAAGGTTGCGGTTTCAATTTCCGATGGGGTCATTGGATTTTTCGACTGACCTAATCCTTCCAGCCGCACTATGGCCCTGGGTGTCGACTCAGCCTCTAACAGAAATTAATACCAGGAATATTTCTGGGGTAAAAGGCGGACCGAACGTAAGGCTGACGATCTCACCGGCATCTATCAGCCGATTGTCTAGAAAATGTGAGAGCCTGGACGTCTCACAACTTTATGGACCTTCAATCGCTTAGAACCAGAGCTAAGCTTTCACACTCATCCATACTGGAAGTGCTGTAAACCCTCCGGGAGTAGAAGTCACCAGGGTCCAACACTGAAATGTTGATGTGCATGTGTACTTTATGAATCATGCGTGAAGCATCCGATGGTGTTCATTCTAACCGCCATGTTGTCAAAGCTGAATTGTCTCTTTATTCCAGGTAACTGGGGGCATCACCGACAGGGCTCGTGCCAAGCTGGACTAGGAGCCTCAATCTCCAAGGTAACACATCTTCGCTTTATTGTTTCTTTGTTTATTACTGGTTGATATGCACGTCATCTGGATCCAGAGCACAGCTTTAAGCCGGACAAGAAACTCTTTGCCTTTCATATCCCCGCCTTTTTTTTCCTCAAAACTGTGCCTTATTCTGAGCCGGTTAAAGCCAATCCAACTCATAACTTCCTGTTTATTGAATGACCATGCCAAAATTCTCGTGGCTGGTCACCCACTTCCCATTGCGGCTGCCCATGATCGGTTCCACGTCAAGCCGTGTGGGATTTGTGATGGACGAAGTGACACTATGGCAGTATTTTTTCCAAGTATGTACTTCCGTTTGTCCTGCCAGTTCTTATTTCACTAACTGCTCGAAGTTCATCAATCTTCGACGCTATATAGTCTCGATACAGACGTCGTTAAGCAAAGAACATTTTAACATGGTTCTCCCACCCACACCTATATATCCCAGTATCTCATCTGCTTTTAGGTCTTCCTATTGATCTATTTCTTTCGAGTCCCGGCAGGGTCATGACATCGTTCTTTTCCCCACGGAGTTCAGACCAGCTCTGGGGCCAATCCAGCCTTCTATCTAATGGGTAACCCTGATCATTTTAATAATATATGCTGTGGGCTATAAGTTATGAAGCCCATCATTGCACAGTGTTCTCCAGCTTCATATTACATGTATAAGTTCAGATGTTCTCCGCAGTCCCCCTCAGATTGTGTGCTTCCCATAAGGTCAGCATCGTGCCCCGGTAGCTTCATATCAGGATAGAAACCACCAAGAACCCACTGGATATGAAACTGCTTGTGCCCCAGGGCCGGTCCGGACGCTGTGGGAAATACAAGAATCTTTTACCTTCGTCGAGAGAGTATCTCGTTGCCTCGGTCCCAATACCCACTGAGTTACACCTGTTCATGCTTAATTAAACCCTGGGGGAACTTTGCTCTTATGAAGGCCGTCGAAAGGCGTGTAAAATATTGTCATGTGCACCCGTTGCTAGGCAAGGACCGCGAAATAAGCAACTATACAACAGCCATTTCTAAGTAACGGCTCCGCAAACAAGAATGTTTGTACGGCAACGAAAGAACACAGCAAGATGGAAGAGATGTTTTCTGCGCGGTCGATACTGACGTGTTATAAGCAGGGTTAGTTAGCAGTTGCACGCAGAGAATTGCTGGATTTCATTGTGAGCTGCTAAAGTGGGAAATTGGTAGCTGATGCAGCGGGAGAATTCGGAACTCAGAGGAAGGGGAACGTCCGCCACTGGACGCCTCTACCAAGCAACAACTGGTGGGCGTGTAGTGACGCGCTGTATGAAGGGATGGAATAAGTCGAGTCATCTATCCAAAAATCCGTCAATATTGACACCCTATCATGGGACAATATATACATGAGAATCTGTGGGGGAGTCTGTGAACCCCTGATCTTTCTATCAGAGCAAAGTAAGGATTTAGATAATCTCGTTTTAGGTCTGCTATTTATACGAGTCTTTATATCATATGGGTCGAGATTTCGTTTTCTTAATCTGTCAGGCGATGGGAGGAAAAATGTGTGTTATGAATACTTTACATTAATACAAGTCTATGGCTAGACCACACAAACGGCAGCCATTTTGATTCTCATGGCACGCTTTGCAATCTCTCTCATCTGGCAACAAGCTCCAGCAGTTGAAGCCTTTGGTGTGAAAAGAATGTATCTCAATTTCTGTGAATCCGAAGGAGACACTTAGATATTATTCACGTTATTTTAAAATTCTTATTGGGACTGTATTGACACATCCTATAAATAAGAATACACACTTCATTATTTTACAGAAATGTCTGCGTCGTTTGGGAGAAGAAATAAAATAAACAGTTTTCTGGTTTTTGGAGCTACGCCCTTCTTGTTCCAGACTTACCCTCTTCAAAATACATACACAGTACAATAGAAACATTACTTACAATATTTGATTGAAATTAGATGTAAATACCAGTGCATTATACGCCTCTTGTCGCTTACAATTATTTAAATGAACGCGAAACACATTAGAAAACAATGCCATTTGAGTCCTGCTATATATCTCTTCTCTTATTGTCTATATATTTAAAATTGGTTCGGTTTTAAGTCGAAACTGTGAAGCATGATTCAGCCATGATGCTAAATTACTGTACCGCTGAATGATTGTTGTTTTATGTATTTGCCCTCCATCATGGAATTCGCAGCCATCTTTTCGTGCTCGGTGTTCTGCTGTGTAATGCAAATGGCGTGTGAGCGCTTGAGTTCCCAATTCATTCATTTCACTTGCTGAAGTTTCGATGCAGCCAGTATAAATGGCTGCTTGGGACAGGAGTGTACAATTCAGACACTAAGATGCTTATTTGTCAATGGTTTGTTTAACAATTCTCTCAGTGTATCAAACTATACAACGTCGAAGGGTAGGAAAATAAGTAAGTAATATCGAATAGATTGGTTTAATGGTAGCGCTCTAGATTTGCATGCGGGAGATGCTCGTTTCTAATCTCTGGTGAGATGCCAGCTATACTTAATGAGGATTTTAGTTTTTCCTCATTCTCAGCATGTAATTCCCGAGGCGTAACCTCGATTAGGTCACGACCGCTTCCTTCCAAATGTTTTTAAGTTTATCATTCGTCAGTCATACCATCAGTCGACGATACATAACTTAGGCCACTTTAATTGTTTCTTGCATCTTGTTGTGTATTTAATCAATATTAGGGTCAATTTCGCCGACCACACAACATGTTTTTATTATTGTCACACTACATGTTTCGACCTCAAGAGGTCATCCTCAGGTGTACGAACACAGTTGCACAATCACACGCAATCACATTCGTTTTCCACTTATTTCGATCCTGTATTCTGTTCAGGCCTACGCTCAATAATATATGTCAAGTTCTTCTTATAAAATACAAGTTAAAATGCTATTCGAATGTTAAAAATTAAAATTTAAAATTTAAAAATTTAAATTTTTTTTTTCGTGAGTCGAAGTTCAATTTCGATCACTGGTTATACTTTCACATTCACTTTGTTTTCTCTGTGTTTAGTTCACTTTTACTAGTTATATTATTACCACTGGTTAAAAAGTTCATGAATTAAAGTTCAACTTATCATATTAGCTGCATGTAGTGTGACAATAATAAAAATATGTTGTGTGGTCGGTGAAATTGACCCTAATATTGATTTATAATTTAGGCCAGCCCAAAATTCAGTCTTAAAATAACCAATAAAAGAGATAAGTTAATAATGAATTTAAAATGATGTTAAAGGGAAACCTCGGGGACGTAATAGAGATAGTATCCGGGAATGTGCCTGGAGGAAAGGAGGGGATCACGTAAAACTCCAGTCGGGGTCCCGGCCAGTATTCGAACCGAATACCTCTTCGAAGACAACTCAGAAGCGTTACCGCTTGACCCAGTTCGCTCAGTGGGCCGGATTGTGAAAACAACGGGAAAGAATGGGTCAGGAAATGGATGAACATACAAGATCGCAATTATTCTGCTCGTGACGTGCGTCCAATTGTGGGAGAGACTGGTCTTACAAATTTTTATGAGAGAAGAAAATTTATTTAACAGACAACCATTTTGGAAGGGCAGGCGGTAGCGTAGTGGATGAGGGACTATGCTACAAGTTGGAAGGTCGCGGGTTCAAGTCCCGATGAGGTCATTGGATTTTTTTCAGTTAACCTAATCCTTCCAGCCGCACTAGGCCCTGGGGTTTACTCAGCCTCTAACAGAAATGAGTACCAGGTATTAATTAAATAATTTTCCTGGGGAGTAAAGCGCGGCCGGCGCGTAAGGTTGACAACCCTACCGCCATCTTTGAGCCGATTGCCTAGATAGTGTGGGATCCTCAACGTCTCACAACCCTATGGGCCTTCACGGCCTGGTACAGGGATAGCTTTACTTTTTTTTTTTACTTTTTTACAACCATTTTGGAGACTATAAACTTTGTGATGAAATTGAGCTGAGAAATGTAAAAAAAATCATAAAATATAGCAGGTATTTAAAATTTATATTGTCACGTAGTATATGTGACTGTAGAGGGGGTTTGGATTGATGAATAAATTGATTGACCATTTACAATTCATAACTACAAATAACACTATCGCTACTTCCATATTTTACAGCTCACTAGAGCACAGAGTCTAATGCCCTCAGTCTGTTACTAGACGTTTCCCAGTAACGGCTGCAACAATGGCTATTCCTCTGCCCCGGGATCAAGTCCTCTCTTAGCAGATTCCCGTACAGAACTGACTATCCTCTGACGAATCAAAGTCAATGCCAAGGTTATTTAATGACTGACGGTTTACTACCAGACAGTTTGTCATGGAGTCAAGCCCCTTTGGACTCATGACCAGAGATTTATTTTTCAACTGAACCATTGTGTAATTGTCCTTAAAATCTTCTCAGAAGAGAAGATGGATTTGCTTCTTATGCTCTTACGCTCTTACGCTCTTATGAACGTGCTTGGCCTTTCGTCAAGTATACGTATCGCATGGTATAAAACGTAAAGTATGTAATATTAGATCCCAAGAAATATATTCATTTCTCGACATATCCTCCACCAGCACTGATAATGTGACGGAACGCCTGAAAGCCTGATCTCCCACCTGCTGAGCGGAGCTTCGCATAGAAGTTTCCTAGGTAACGGTTACCGAACCGCTTCAATTCTCACGGCAAAAAAATATGCTGGAGACCGTCGCATCGGAAAACGCGAAACAGGAACCTTTGGAGATGATGTCCCCTAGTCGTTAGGAGAAGCAGTTATGAAATCGAATGCGTTCGTGAACAGTACAGAGCGAAGTGAGAGATCAGACCAGAGAAGACCGGAGCAGAGATGAGATCAGAAGACCAGATCAGAGACGATGGACTAGTCAGGTCACATTGTCTGGAAGAAGTTATGTCAGAGTGATTGTGTGGCTGTAAACGAATTATCCATTAAAACAGCTTCCTCTAATCCGCAACCCAACAATTATTTGTCACGGAACTCCGGACACGTGACAATA